CCCCAAAACCCCAAAACCCCAAAACCCCATTGAAAGTTTATTGATAAAATGATGAGAAAATTTAAATGTAGATCAGTAGTTAAAAACATATTATTTGAATATTCTAAATATTTATGATTTAGTCCATCTATCTACTGTGAATCCCCCAATCATCCATGGATAAGGTTGAGCTTTCTAAGAATAAGAAGTGCTATATTAGGTCCAATAATTAAGACACTAGCAATAATCTGGACATTGTCTAATGGTTGAGAGTGCCCAAATCCATCTACAAAGACAGTCATTACAAAATAGATGTAGATGAGAGGAAGGTATTCGTTCTTAGTATCGTTTTCCATTACGTCTGTGAACATCGAATGGAATATCCACCACAAAAACCCGCTCAAAATAAAGTAACCGAACTATATCCACTCATAAGTTAGTCTGGTGGGGTTAAGGGAGAAAAATCCGAGGATGAATGCTGGAATGATCAAAGCTGTGAAAAGACCAACATAAAATGTGTCTACATGATGGTTGATGTAAGATTTCTGCTTTTATAAAATCACATTACCGAATCCCCAGAATATAATGGTCAGAATTCCATATATAAATGCTTTCATGTTGTCATAATTCTCTGTATGGTGATTTGTGAACTTAGCGTTTCCCTTGTATAAAAAGGCTAATCCACCAATAGCGACAATTGATGCTAATAAATCCCAACCAGAATATTTCTTCTCAATCATAGCATATCTTTAAGCTACTTTTTATGTGGGAGGTAGTAAACTGATAATAAGAGCAATATAGGCAAAAGAACTAGCTTATTACACAGCTACAAAAAGGAATATATAAGAAAGAGAAATGCAAATAACTCTGACAAAGAATGCATACCTAATTGTTGGTCTCAAATCGAAGACACTCATATCTTCTTTCTGGATCAAATATTGTAGGATAGAACAGACGAAGAACATGATGCCACGACCATATATATCCTCCCAAATGGTGTGTCTATAGTGCTAATACATCTCCTTGAATAATATTGTGTTGAGACCAAAGCTTATCATGGCAATAACCATCTTAATGAAATAAATTCTTGGTGAGATAGTCTTGATATGAGTCACTGGGAGTTTATCTGCATTCTCATTGAATAAACTATTTCTCTTAGTTGGTTCTGCTATATACTCCTATCTAATTATATCAGCTGCTCCTTACATGACCATCATTTCCATTTCATTACGATCAAAATCGTCACCATTCTTAGATACTCCAGCTCCGAACCCACTGCGGCCCGACCTATTACTCCTCATATCATAGTCGTTATTGTTCTTATTGAACTTATCTGCTAGTTGCCTCTGGCTCAGTAATGCCGAGAATTTCGAAGAACTCGATTGAGAATACTTTGAGGGATCGTACATATTTTCTCTAGTTTAGTTAATAAGATCAATAAAATGATTATAAATTACTTTCAAATTTTCTTATTAAAATTGTCGTTTAAATTTAGGTCGCTTGGGGTTTTGGGGTTTTGGGG